TCTAAGCTCGAAGAATATCAGAAAAAGTGCAAACATCTTGTATCCATTATAATAACATCTGTACTGAATATCTAGTAATAACAGAACATAACCAGAAAATATGTAATTGAAGCCGGCAACCCTATTTCCATTTCCTCAATATTTAAATTGGCGTATTATGCAGGAAGTCAAAAATGAATATATGTCATGAAGGAATGAAATTTAACATTCTCTGGATCACGTTATGGTCTGAAGAATGTAATGGATAACTAGTTGACTTAGTCTAGTTAGAATAGTCTGTAGTAATCAGTCTAACTATTTTCATGGTATACTTTGGATCTCAAACTAATAGAAAGAATGAATGAATGAATGAATGAATTCGATTTTAAAACATTTGAATATAAATATAATTCATAGTATTGTTAGTAAAAATTTATTAGTTTTGCGTCTGTTCTGTATATGTGTACACATGAATGTTATATCTCTACTTTTAGTAATATACTTCATAAATATTGTACAAATCTCATTTTTGTTAGGTATATATTCATTTTTGATTCTCGCTGTATATGTCGTTATATATTATATATGTCGTTCAAAATCGTCATTTAAAAGGGAAGAGGATGAGAACTTTGCAAAGAGTGAAAGTCAGATTTCGCAAAAGTCAAATTTCGAGATTTTGAAAGTACGAGGCATGCCGGTCGACGAATCGAAGGTCGATCGACCACCATTATTCCCTGCCCATTAACTGCAAAGGTCCACGATACCTGCTTCGAGCCAAGACGAGGAAAAAGTTGAACAATAGTATACACCCGAACACCCCTGTTATACTGCCGCAATAAAACTACGGTGCGTTCGTAAAACCGGACGCAGAATTCTCAGAAAATTTTCGAAGGCCCGTTAACTTTTCTACGTAACAAAGCATCCAACATTTGTCGAAAAATATCGTTGGAAGAGAACGGCAAACGTAAAAATTGATTACTGGGAAAAAAATGTTCTACGAAAAACTTTTACTGCAAGAAAAATTTTGGAATAATTCTAAGGTTCATATTTCTTGAAAACTTCAGAAAAATGATTACTTTGTGTACCAAATGTAAGACGAAATTTGGAGTAATTGTATAGTTATATAGTATAATTCGATACTTTAGAAAAAATAATCAATGAATTATATAAATTTTGAACCATAAAAGAGTTGCACTTCAAATTTTGAATTACGTGAATTTCGAATCGTGGCAAATTATTTTGAAAATTATTATAATGTCCATTCCTGACATATAAAAATTGATAATTAAAAAAGAAAATAGTCAAACGATCCTACTTCGAAACTGAAATTGAAAACACACAAAATCCTCATATATGACTGTTTAAAACTTATGATAAGTTTTTATCGAGAATCATGTATAAAAAAAAAAAAAAA